ACTGGGTTAGAGAATCACGGCAGCAAAAGCTCACACCAGACACAAACATTACCAAAACTGCTAAAGGTCACAGAGTACGAAATACAGGTTAGAAAGGGAGGAAACAAAAAAATAGACATATCATGCCTAATATTGTCATCGCAATATTTACAAATATTATTGCCATCGCAAGGTTTTCTATTATTGTGCAGACCTACCACCTTCTCTATCCAAGCCGGGGCAATTTATTCTGTATTTCTCTGGTTTCACAAAATAAGTGTGGTCACACATAGCCTAGTAAAAACCAGACCCTTCTCCTTCACTTTGCTTCGTATGAGGGTCTGGACTCGCGGCTATACAGAAAAGTTTCTTGCAGGAGGCGTGGCCTCTGATAAAGTTTAAAATGATTGGATCAGTTGGCCGTGACGTATGTCGCTGTGAAGGAGGCTAAGCTAAGAAGCTAAACAGAAAACGCATGTGCTGTAAACAACCCTACAGAGAGGAGAGAAGTACCGAGCCGAACGAGATGACTGTAAATGAGAGCTGCTGCTTTGTCAGACAAATTTAATTTAATTTGGAAGCCTTATCAACACAGACTGGCTTCATTCACTTCCTCCACTGCCGTATGCTAAAATAACTAGCAGAAAGTGCGCAGAAAATCGACGTCGTTCAAAACTCCGCCTTCTGTTTGCTGATTGGCCCAGGCAAAACAAACTACAAGCAGACACTGCGCAGAAAATCGACGTTCTGTTCTCTGATTGGCCCGAATGAAAATTCTCCCGAAGAAATCCTTGTCTATGGGAGAAATCCCAGACGGAGCAGTGAAGGGAAATTAGAATTGAGCGGAACTGCGWAGGAAGGAAAGGGCCAGGCTAGGTCACACACAAAGTTTAAAAATTTATATAGTGTAAACAACAAAAACAGCTCTTGGCCAACATAAGGTTCAGCACGGTGCCCTAAAGGCGTCCTGAGATGTCGTCAGAAAACCAAAGATGTTCCCYGAGCTAAATGCCTGTTCATGGAGCTCTAATGCTACAGAGGTTATGACACCATACACCTGGTAAATACCTGACAGAGGTCACTACTTACTCTAAGGAGTAGAAAAGAGGAGTTATCAACCTCCTTTTAATTTATTGTGCGATTAACTGACTTGTTGCTTATCACGACAGGTCTAATGCTGGCACCTGAATCTTGAATTCAAATGGTGACTGTCCGTTTGGACTGAAGATGAGGTAGAGATGCAGGAAGACAGTACCAACAGTACCTAAATGCAAAATTATCAAGATGATTCTTACATTTTCATCAAAATTTATACTCAGTGACTCAATTACAAAAGAATGCATTTTGTAGGGTTTACAAACGCTAATTGGTAATATTCTGTATTGAGCTCATACATAGATGGTAATCTGTTTTGTCACATTTTCCAGTACAAAAACAAAACCTGTTGGACATCAATTTTTAATGCGGTCATTTAAGGTTTTAAAGCTTCCTTGGATACTGAAAGCGTTTTGTGGCCTCTATTTGTTAAACAGTTATTGTGTGCTCCATTCTCCTCCATCCTACATGACCCCCATCCTCCTATCTCCATCCCTCCAAAGTCCTGATTTATGGTCCCATCCCCGCTCGAACTCATTCCCCTTCTCCTTCACGCTTCCTCTCATGGCAACCGCAAACCCCTCTCACACAATTACAAGCAAGTCTCTTACAGTAAGAGCATCCACTCCGACCATCTCAAGGTAAAGAAAGGGTCWGAATGAGACAGCGTTTACAGGAAACAAATCCATTTCCGAAGCCCTCTCAYGACTCTTTGTATCGCACTCAACTCTCTTTGCAAGTCAAAGCACACGAAGCTAGTTTACCATTTTATCTTTCAGTTTTACAAATGACTCATAGGATAGATGTGATGTTGGGTTTTTTTTCTGCCCCTCGTTCTATTTAAATTTYATTTGGTTTTAAACAAACGCGGAGGAGTTAAGATGAGTGAGAAATCTCCGTAACCTGCAGAGGAGGCCCCGGAAAATTTCTGCAGCACAGTCCTTTTCCACTCCACTGCTTTTGCTGCAGTGCCCCGTATTAACCAGTCTACCCTCGATCCTTCCATCTTTCTTATTCTCCCCTCCCCTCCAACTCTGCTCCCCMGTCACCACCACTCACTTAAACTGCAACTGAGCTGATTCTTATCCACCGTCTCTCAAGCCAACACTTCGGGCTATGGTGGAGGCGCAGCTAGTCCAGATTATTTATGAAAGAAGATAAAACCACGGAGCACATGTGCCAAACGCAGACACGAGGAAAGGCGTAAATACGGAATCACAATGGCTTCACGTCAAATGAGCAAGTACCCTTTTACATAAGCAATAAAAGATCAAATGTTTGGTTGCTTCTTGGGTTTTTCCTAAAGCAAACCTATAAATGTCCATCTAAAATATAAATATTAATGGATTATCCTCTGCAGGCAGCCTTGTGAGCGTTACACAAAGATGCATTGGTGTGTGTGTTTCAGCGGATGTGTGTGTTTGCCACCCCCAAGCTCCGCAACATTAGACTCAATTACCAGAKGAGATCTGCACACCAGACTTCTACAATTACATCACAGTCATACAAGCAGTCCAGCTAACATGAGGGGAAGAAGACGAGATGAGAGGAGAAAGGACAGATCCAGGAAAAAAAAAAAAATCAGAAGAAAATGTAATAAATAGCCAAACAGAAGATAAAGCAAAAACAATGTGTGTTTCCCACATAGCACGTTTTCTGACCTCAGTTGTATTTAAAAGGATATTTCAGATCTTCTGAAGTGGTGATTTTAATTAAATTATCTACAGGGCTTAAAACGAAATTAGTCAAAGACCTACACAGTGGTTTTGTAGTCAAGCCGTCTAATCCAAGACCAAGTCAGAATCGAGAAGTCGTTTGGATTGGAATGGGTGCGTTTTACATTAATGAAAGCAAAGATGTTCACAAATAAATTTGACGAAATTCTGGCAATTTAGTGATATTTCTACAGTTAAGGTCTTGAAATTAAATCCCGATTCCTTAATATCCGAGACAAAGACAAGACTGAGTACAAATGCGGTCCAGTCCAAGACCATCAAAAAGTGGTCTTGAGGCCGATCGAGTACTACAACACTGCTATACAGAATTCTACATTAAAAAGATCTATTTATCAAATTTCTTAAGAGTGGATTTTTAGACTTAAGTGCTGAAAATTTCTTAGATTTTCTCCTACCCTCAGACTCAAAATTCTTAAGTCTAAGAATCACTCTTACCCTCCCAAAATGTTGGACTCTTAAGTGGTTAAGAGTTGCCACTACGGGTCTCAGATGGACTCAAGACAGAGAACACAGCTGTCCTCCTCCCCACCTGAGTGTTATTCTCAGTTATAAGGTGGAAAACAGGTTTGGTCAGAAATACAAAAGAACAAAGGTAAACAAATGAATAAAAATAAAAACTGTGCTTTGATTTTAAAAAATCTGAGATTTTTGTCTGTATTTATGWTGCAAAGAGGACACTTTATGTAATTTACAGAAAATCAGTACAACATGACAGTGTGTTGAAAATGAACTTATCTTAGGATTTTCACAGTTTGATCTTGCCTCTTCTCCGACAATATTTTTGAAGATGAAATCCGATGCAGTGATTGGTTCATGCCGGTGTTCTTTCTAACAACGTCATCCAGGATCAGCTTCGCGGCACAGCCAGGTGTCGCAAATCAGCTCTAAGACTGACACTTAAAAATTACTCCCACACTTCACTTAAAAGTAAGAATGAGACGCTTGATAACTGACTTTTACTCTCAGCTTTTAACTAAGAATTTTTTTACACTTAAGTCCACTCTTAGCAGCATTCTTAAGAGGAATACTAAGAAGTTTGATAAATATGGGCCCTGAACCATCCTGGTTAAGTTCAAACTTGTAAATAATGTGAAAAAACTTATAATCAATTCATCGTCCCGTAAAGAAAAAATAAGTACTTAAGCTCCTTCTTGGATTCACACAAAAGCCATAAGCAGAGAGTTAAACCGAGCAGGCATTTTACTGTCTGTCAGTGACAAGGAAGCAGTTAAAGTGGAATTGTACAAAGCCTTAAACACACTGCTAGCCCATGGGAAATCGATACAGAGCCTTGGAGCGTGGTATTATACTGCTGCGATTCTCTCTTTTTCTTCTGTGCACCTGCTGCTGCTGTCTCCACCAGATACTCCATCCTGTCGTCCTGCATTTGCGTTCCCCGGGTGAACCTGACTTTACCCGGCAGCCAACACCGATTATTCCATTTGTTTTTATTTGCTCACAACCAAGAAGGGAAAGAGACTCCACTCAAACAGAAAACTCATTTGTAAGACGAACGAGCACCAGGACAAAATGTAACTCTTCTTGGCACAGTGTTTCTACAAAGTAAGAGGAGCTCAGGTTTACAGCCATTGTGGGTGAAAAATGGTGCAACCTTATAGCTACCTGCTCCTCTAATAAGAGCCATAAAAGGGAGAATGACTTCTGCTATGGACAAATAACAGACTTTTACAGTTAAGTTTTAGGACTATATTAMAGTTTTAGTGATAAAAGATAATGATCTGAATGCTGAGTCAACATTCACACAATGTTTTTATGTTCATAGTTTRTTATTTTGTTTTTCTGACAAACATTTTCAGCACATTTTCAGTTTCAGCTGTTCAGGTGTCAAAATTTTCAGTTTGTTCGGGACAACATGGATGACTTTTAGCATTTATAACTTTCATTACCTTTTTGTTTTAAATCATAAAAATGCATCTGGAAATTTCTCCACGTACTTCAAAAACAGGCTCACTGAAATCTTCAGCATGTTCAGCAACTTTTTTGCTAATTTTGTTTTTTTCTGTGCTGTTTTGCTATGTTAGAATCTGACAATTTTAAATTTCAGCTACTCTTTTGTTCATTTTAGCTTTAGCTACCAAATCTACATGAAGAAAATGTTTTAAATTGTTAAAAAACATACAAAAGAAGCATAAATAGGATATGTATGCTTGTGATTTTTACAAAACTCACATTCCTCCTCTTTGGGGTCCAGCTGTGTGACACTGATTGAGAGGCGGTCCACCCGCTCCTGCAGGGAGTTGACTCGAAAAGAGAAGGAATGGGCCTCATTGAACAGCTCTCCGAAAAGGTCCTCTGCATATTTACCTGTAAAAATACATTTTAAAAGTATTTATTTGATGTTTAAAAAGTGTGGAAATAAGTTGCATTAAAAAAAGTTAATCATCTGAAAGAAACGAACGACTGATTAGTGTGGGAGGTGACATCTGGTTGTCAAAACATATCCAATATTTACTCAGTCGAGCAAAGAGTCTACTCTCTTTAATAAAAGATTTCTTTACTTCAATGCAGCTGTCAGGAATAGTTCCTGTCAACTGACTCAGGAGACCTTRCAAGTCTACAACACTTTCTGTGTGTCCTTTAATTTTAAAAGTCAGATTCTCTGTCAAACACAATTACAGAAAACTGTTGCCTTTTATCTGTTAGTCTTCTCAGCTTTTAAAGATGTGCAGTTATTGTTACTGAGAGCTGGAAAAACAGAGTGTCAGCAGTGACTGATGTCTGTGGAGTTAGCTGACTGAAGACGAGCCATATGGTGCAGACTTAGGCTACGTTCACTTTGCAGGCAAACGCCACCCAGGTCGGATTTTTCCCCTAAAAGTCTGAACGTGACAAAACCTGATWTTTTTTTTTCAAATCTGACCCAGGCCCCATGGTACTGAATCTGGTACATACAGTGGGGAGATCAAGTATTTGATACACTGTTGATTTTTCAGGTTTTCTCACTTGCAAAGCTTGTAGAAGACTGTAATTTTTATGAGTGATGGAATCTAAAACAAAAATCCAGAAAAATACAATGTATGATTTTTAAATAATTAGTTTCCATTTTATTGTGTGAAATAAGTATTTGATCATCTATAAAACAGTAAGAATTTTGGCTCTCACAGACATGTTAGTTCTTCTTTAAGAAGCCCTCCTGTTCTCCACTCATTACCTGTATTAACTGCACCTGTTTGAACTCGTTACCTGTATAAAAGACACCTGTCCACACACTCAATCAATCAGACTCCAGCATCTCCACAATGCCCAAGACCAGAGAGCTGTGTAAGGACATCAGGGATAAAATTGTAGACCTGCACAAGGCTGGGWTGGGCTACAGGACAATAGGCAAGCAGCTYGGTGAGAAGGCAACAACAGTTGGTGCAATTATTAGAAAATGGAAAAAATACAAAATAACAGAAAATCTCCCTCGGTCTGGGGCGCCATGCAAGATCTCACCTCGTGGAGCATCATTGATCTTGAGGAAGGTGAGGAATGAGCCCAGAACTACAYGGCAGGACCTGGTCAATGACCTGAATAGAGCTGGGACCACAGTCTCAATAAAACAATCAGTAACACTCTACGCCGTCAAGGATTAAAATCCTGCAGTGCACACAAGGTGCCCTTCCTCAAGCCAACGCATGTCAAAGCCCGTCTGATGTTTGCAAATGACCATCTGAATGATCCAGAGGAGGAATGGGAGAAGGTCAGGTGGTCTGATGAGACAAAAATAGAACTTTTTGGTTTAAACTCCACTCGTCATGTTTGGAGGAAGAAGAATGATGAGTACAACCCCAAGAACAGCATCCCAACTGTGAAGCATGGCAGTGGAAACATCATTCTTTGGGGATGCTTTTCTGCAAAGGGGACAGGASGACTGCACCATATTGTGGGAAGGATGGATGGGGCCATGTATCATGAGATTTTGGCCAACAACCTCCTTCCCTCAGTAAGAGCACTGAAGATGGGTCGTGGCTGGGTCTTCCAGCWTGATAACGACCCAAAACACACAGCCAGGGCAACTAAAGAGTGGCTCCGTAGGAAACATCTTAAGGTCCTGGAGTGGCCTAGCCAGTCTCCAGACCTGAATCCAATAGAAAATCTTTGGAGGGAGCTTAAAGTCCGTGTGGCCCAGCGACAGCCCCGAAACCTGAAGGCTCTGGAGGAGATCTGTATGGAGGAGTGGGCCAAAATCCCTGCTGCAGTGTGTGCAAACCTGGTCAAGAACTACAGGAAACGTCTGATCTCTGTAACTGCAAACAAAGGTTTCTGTACCAAATATTAAGTTTCATTTTTCTGGTGCATCAAATACTTATTTCACACAATAAAATGGAAATTAATTATTTAAAAATCATACATTGTATTTTTCTGGATTTTTGTTTTAGATTTCATCACTCACAGTTGAAGAGTACCTATGATAAAAATTTGTCATCTACAAGCTTTGCAAGTGGGAAAACCTGAAAAATCAACAGTGTATCAAATACTTGATCTCCCCACTGTATCTGATGTTTTTTTATTTTTTTCAAAACGACCTCAGTCTGCACACTCATGTCTCATTTCATCCGACTTTTCCATCAGTGATGTGGGGGGTGAGCGGATCGGACAGGTTCAATACTAAAGTTACTGGATTGATTATCAATCCAGTAACTTTAGTATTGCGACCATTGGCAACAAATTGTGAACGGCTTTCGTGAGTTTCCAAAAGGTTTTTAAAGGCTCTTGAAGGATTCCGAGTGTCCTTACAGAGYCACGGGGCCTCGCTCTTGTGTTGTAGGACTTTTACACGTTTGGTCATAAAGGTGCATTTGAAAATTATATTTTGTGCATTTGTACTCATGAGTTCTTGGGTTACTCACTGAGGCTGCTGAGCTGACGGATGACGTTGGCCAAGGAGACGTTGGTCACGCACTCCAGCTCGTTCCGGATGTTCCTTGGCAGGACTGTGTGGCACAGGTGCCTGGGCTCGATGGTGCGCTTCACCAACGGCATCCTTTTTCTAAAACGATGCTACCTAGTGAGACAGGACGGAGGAAGGATAAAAGCTTCAYTAGTAATCAAATGCTAATTGTATTTCTTATTATATTTGCAAAAATCCGCACAACTATCATTCATGAGCAAAAAAACAATGTAGCAAGACAAAGCAAGTCATATTTATTCATTGAAAACCTTCCTTTTGCTTTCTTGGTTTCACTGATTTTGTACAGTTTTGCCCTTTATCATAAATTCAACATTCTGTTTATTTTATCCAAGCACTTTGTCTGCCCACACAGCCAAGCTAATGGCTGAAACAACAGGAAAAAAAAGCAGAAAACAACAAATCTTATACATAAATCATACGAGTCACTCTTGCTACAACTTCCTGAAACTTGTCCTCGGGTCAAAATGACCCAAGGCCTCTGTGTCAAAACTAAAATTTTAATTCAAGAGTAAAAGTCAACGACTATCTGAGAAACTAAACATGTTCACTGTCTTAATTTGGCATGCAAATTAGCACCTTATGATAATAATAATTTTAAAAAAAAAATCAACAATCATTGGGAATAATCACCCGGAGGCAAATTAGTCCACACAAACTAAGCTTCATGACATTTTATTCAAAAACTTGTCATAAATATTACAACAAAAGAAAAATCAATCTTTGCTCAAAAACAAAAAGTTTAAACCCTGTTGAAAGTAGCCGAAACGTCTCAGTTTAACAACATCCACTCCCTTATACTGAAATGAATTTATATGCAAAACATGTCAAAGCCTGCAACAATTTCATCACTTTACAGATTAACTGGTGAAACTGCAAATGGACACAAAATCCAAACCAGATGGTGRAAACTTTAAAAGGTGAGACGTCAGAGGAATATGGTCAGCAGAGGACGATCTACCAACACGACTCCCTCTAACAGCAATTATTTACGCTAACAACGTTTCAGCATCATCTCTCTGCTGTTCGCTTGTGTTKAATGAGAGCAGGCATGTGAAATGATGCAGAAATCAAGTGTAATGATGGACTGACCGACTGCTTGGCCTTGACAGGGAGAAGGCCTCGTTAAAGCACCGATTAAAATTTAATTGACGCCCGGTGCTTTTAATAATGCGCTGTATTTTTAGCTGCGCCTCCGTCACAGACGAATAAACACGATTATTGACCGTATCCACAGAAAAGCAGTGCATGGAGGCTATTCTAGGAAGCCGCCAGGATGTGATGGTGACTGTGCTGAGGTGAGTCATGTGGGAAATATCTCAAAGGGAGCCATTGGTGAAAAAGATGCACCTCTCGGAGCTTGTGGTTGGAATAAGATGAGCAGGGGGAAAAAACACTGCATGAAATCTCTGCCCTCTTGTAAAATTAAAAGATATGCTTTCTGCTTTATAGTTTAGTTTAATTTCCTCTGATGGGCACTTCATCAATCTGAAAATCCCATTCAATGGACACTAACAYTTAATGAATAGTGAACACATAGGGTATTACTTGCCAAGGCTGGAGGTGCAGATTCAATTGCTTTAAAGCAGATCTTTAGAAAGTGGACCCAACTCTGTTTAATAGAACATGTTGGGAAATTAAATTGGCAAACAAAACAAGAAAAAAACAACATAAATGTAACATTACGTAACGCCAAAAGGTCTACACATCCCTAAAAACACGTATACAGCTAGGGCTGCAACGATTAATCGATTAATCG